TTATCCCCAGTACCCAGACCTGTGCCTTGTACACAATAGGTGCTCAGATAAGGACACTCACCATTTTGGGGGGCAATTACCACATGCTAAACATTTCCCTTGCAGAATTTGTTTTAGAAATTTTCACAATCCCAGCCTGCCAGGTGGGCGTTTTTATTTTTTTATCTGTTTTTAAAGCTTTTATTTATTTTTTTGAGACAGAGAGAGAGAGAGAGAGAGAGAGAGAGAATGAGCCATGGGGAGCAGTAGAGAGAGAGGGAGAAGCAGACTCCCCGCTGGACAAGGAGCCTGATGCAGGGCTCGATCCCAGGACCCTGAGATCACAATCTGAGCCAAAGGCAGATGCTCTACCGACTGAGCCACCCAGGCACCGCCAGGTGGGCATTCTTATTCCCATTTTACAGAGGAGGAAACTGAGAGTTGAGAGCGATCCAGTAAGTCGTCAAGATTTGAATCCAGTTCCTTGGGTGCATTTTCACGCTGCTCGGAAGCTGGGGCAGCAGTGTTCATACCCCTGAACGGGCCAGTTTCCTTCACCCCACCCAACCTGGGCTCAAAAGCCTGCGGCTTGCCACCCTGCAGGCCTGCAAGGGTGACTCGCCTCCACGAGGGGACCCCTTTTTCTTGGCAGCGGCCCCCTCCCATAACAGCTGGAGGCAGCAACCCCCTGGGTCGCCACACGGGCTCTAGAGCCGGGGCTTGGGGCTGGGATACCTAAGCCCCACTTTCTGCTCAGGTGGGAAAATGGGTCGTGAGAGGAATGTAAAATAATCCATCACCCTTTTTGACACTTATGGGTTGTATGAGTCAGGATCCCACAGGAAATACAGGACACACGCAACGGTTTGACTGAAGAGAATTTAATGGAAAGTGTATTTACAGAGGCATCGGTTTCCTATGGCTGCAGGAACAAAGTCTCACAAATGTTTGTGGCTTAAAACAACACAAATGTACTCTCTGGTTCTGGAGGTAGGAAGTCCAAAATGCTGGTTACCTCCGGAGGCCCCACGGGGCAGGGATCCATTCCTTGACTCGTCCAGCTTCTAGAGGCTTTCCTTGGCTGCTGGCTAAACCATTCCAACCTGTTTGCATCATCATATATCACCTTGCCCTCCCAATTCCCTCTTACGGGGACCCTAACGATACATTATTGGGCCCACCCTGATAGTCCAGAACAATCTCCACATCTCAAGATCCTTAATTTAGTCACCTCTGCAAAGTCTCTTGTGCCATTTCAGATAACATATTCACAGGGCCCAGGGATTGAGGTATGGACATCTTGGGGGCCATTATCCAGCCTACCACCTGTGGAAGCAGATGGAGGGTGGCCAGGGATTAGCATCAGCCGGGATCTATTACCACCCCCAGACCCGAAGCTGAAGCCCAACCAGAGGCCAGAGGAGTGGAGCAGAGCAGGGGAGGGACGGGGAGAGCCAGAAAATCAGCAGCACGGTACTGAGTTCATTGCATTAGCTATGACTGCCACTGCATTTGAGGCCTGGTCTCCCAAAGAGGGTCCAGGGCCCCGGGGCTGCCTGCCTCTGTCCCTGGAAAAGCAGAATGAACCCTCCCATGCCATCCCCGCGCAGTGGGACCACAGTCCCTTCCGCTCAAACCACGCAGTCAGGATTTGGGGCAAAAAAGCTGCCAGGGGAATTTCAAAGCCAAAGAGCCAGCTGGCTTTTCAAAGCCCTCTCTCTAACAAAGAACCGGAGAGGAGGTAGGAAGACAAAGGCGCTGGCCAGCAGGAGGCCGGCGAAGCAGCTGCCATGACAGCCCCCAGAAAGGTGAGCTGCAGGAGGAGGCAACTGGAGGGCAACTGGAGCCGCACAGACGGGTCTGATCTTCCACAGAAGCCCCCTCCCCCACCATCACCACCACTGGCCCTTAAACAAACTGCTCCAGCTCACTGGAGGCTAAGCGGTGAGGAGCCGGGAGCCCAGCACTGGCAATGTAGAGCCTAGGATCCGTTCCGTCACTGACTCACTGTGTGACCTTGAGCATGACAGTCATCCCTCTGCACCACAGTTTCTGCATCTATAAAATGGGGATAATGGGACCCAGTGCCTAAGGTCAGGTTCTCTAGAAGCAGAGCCTGAGACAAGGATTCTTGCGTGCATGTGATTTATTCGAGGGAATCTGGAGAGGAGGAAAGGACACAAAATAGGTGGGGCAAAAGGCAGGCAAGGCTGTGAGTGAGGACCTCAGCGCTGTTCCTCTTGAGAACAAGCCAACAAAAAGGTAGCTTTTGTCCCCATCTTGGGGGAGGCACATGTCCCATTCTTTCCCTGCTCCAGTAGACTGACTAATGACCCCCCAAAGACGTCCACATCTTCATCCCCGGAACCTACTAATATGTTACCTTCTAGGTGAAAGGGGACTTGCAGGAAGTCTTTTGAGATGGGATATCATTCTGGGTTATCTGAGTGGGCCCCCTGTTATCACAGGGTCCTCACAAGGGGAGACAAGGTCAGAGTCAGTAGGTGGGGGGGGTGAGGAGGGGAGCAAGAGGTTGGAGTGATGTGAGGAAGAGGCCAGCAGCCAGGGAATGCAGGTGCCTCTAGAAGGTGGAAGAAGCAGGGAGATGGATTCTCCAAAGGTCACCAGAAGGAACTCAGCCCAACAACACCTTGATTTTCAACTTCTGACCTCCAGAACTGTTCAGAGAATCCATTCGTGTGGTTTCGAGCGACCAAGTGAGTGGTACATTGTTAAGAGCATCAACAGGAATCCAATATGTGGGGCGCCTGGGTGGCTCAGTTGGTTGAACATCTATCTGCCTTTGGCTCAGGTCATGATCCCAGGGTCCTGGGATTGAGCCCCAAATTGGGCTCCCAGCTCAGTGGGGAGCCTGCTTCTCCCTCTCCCTCTGCCACTCCCCCTGCTGGTGCTCTCTCTCTCTCTCTCCACACACCCCCCAAATAAATAAATAAAATCTTAAAAAAAAAAAAAAGGAGTCCAATATGCCTGCTGACACGGGGTAGCCACACAACCTGTCCCAGGCTCAGGGCCCCGGGCTCTGTGGCACAAGCAATCACTGCTCCTGCTCAGTAAGCACCTTCTGTGTGTCACGCAGGTGACCCTAATCCCTTGGATCCTCTGGCCAATTCTGAGTGCCCTGCCCCACCCCCAGCTTCTCTGTGCTTTGGCCTCCAATAGTTCTCAATAGCTCTCAGGCCTGGAGCCACTTTGACCTCTGGTACAGAGAGCCAGAGGCCAGAGTGACCTTCAGCTAGTGACTGATGGCCTTGCCTTGTGTCTGACCAACTCTAAGCAGCAATCCACACTGGAGAGCCCCCAGGCATTGCATTCTGGCTGGGCTCCTCCCCTGCCCTGCCCTGCCCTCCCCCAACTCCCTCTGGTTCCCCCGGGAGCATGTCCTTAATGGCACAGGAAGCCTAGTCTCAGGCTCTGCTTCTGGGGTAGGGGGCAACCTGAGAACCTTCTCTATCTGGTCCCCACAATTAAGCCCCGAGGCAGGGAGTTTGCTGATTCTCATTTTGCAAAGAAACTGAGACTCTGACTGGCTCACAGCTGTAAGGGGTTAAGCTGGAATCTGGATCCAAACACAAGGGATGGTGCATTTAATCCCCAGATTCCATACTAGACAGTCCCCTGGGCTCCTTCTCCAGCCCTTGGGGATAATCACTGCATTTCCTGGGGGCAGGAAGTGGTTGGAGCAATGAGCTGGGCTCTGTCGGAGATAATCCTCCTGGACCCCTGCCCATCTCACACTTCTGGCCCGGCCGAAGTCCCCACAATGGGATAGTGGGTGTGGGGAGGCCTGGGGAAGCTGCTGGACCCTGAAATGTGGATGTCAAAGCCATGGCTCCCTGAGGCCATCCATTGTTAAAAATCACACAGGCGGGGCGCCTGGGTGGCTCAGTCATTGGGCATCTGCCTCTGGCTCAGGTCATGATCCCAGGGTCCTGGGGTCGAGCCCCGCATCGGGCTCCCTTCTCCGCGGGGAGTCTGCTTCTCCCTCTCCCACTCCCCCTGCTTGTGTTCCCTCTCTTGTGGTCTCTGTGTCAAATAAATCAATAAAAAATCCTAAAAACATTTAAAAAAAAAAATCACACAGGCTTCGTATTGATTCTTGAGTCAAATCCTGGCAAATGACTTATCCCTTCTTTCCCCTCTGTGAGACCAGGATAGTAACTCTGTGGCCAGGATGGAAGAAATAACAGATGGGAACTTGGTGAGGACAGAGCTTGGCCCAGAGGGAGCTCGTTCCTGCTCCGTTAATCTGAGCCTCAGTTTCTTCATTTGTGAAATGGGAATAATCATACCGCAGTGCAGTATGAACTCTGGGGTCCCAATCCTAAGCGACCTGGGACTAGTCACTTAACCGCTCTGTGCCCCCTGTCCCTCCTCTGGTTAGTTAAGGGCTGTGTGAGGGAATACAGATGAACGGAGCCCTGCACACAGTGCCGTCGGTAGCTCGTATGGGAAGGGCTTGGCCAGCGCCTAGTACCTCCTAAGCGCTCACTAAACAATGGATGTTTTGTTCTTGGAGTTCTCTGGCCCCCATAGTGAGGAAGGTCACCTCCACACACCTCCACAGCCCTATGGCTTCAGCCTCCAAGGCACAGGCCCAGCGGGCTGGTTGCTGCGCTCAGGTGGGTTTGGATGGAGTTGACCTTGTAAAGAGCACGGGCCCTGTGTGCCCCCCCGCCCCATGTTTCGGGGCCTGTTCAGGCCTCCAGCTCTCACCCCAAACACACCCCTTCCATCCTTTCCCTCCCCACCTAAGGGCCCATCCTTCACCCACCTTGTTCCCCGCCCGCATCAGCAAATTGGTGATGACTCACGATAGAGCTGGGGCCGACGCTGCGTGGGTGATACCATCCTTCTCAGAGGCATTTACCTTCCCACAGCTCCCGAGAGCACGGGGCCTGCCATCTTGGAATGCTTGCCAATCCCTGGGACCCTTCTTCTCCCCAGGGAACAGTCTGACATGGCAACCCATTCCAGGTGGCAAGATGTTCCCCCAAGATGTCCTGCAAAGACGTCTCCGGCTCGCAGGGCTCTGTGTGTTGGCGTCGGTGCGTTCCTGCCTAAATGGGAAAAAGCAGCTTCCAGTATTCTGTCTGATGCCTCCTATAATGAGAACAGCAGCTGTGGGGGCTTTTACCTTTCTTTTTCTGGACTAAACAGGCCTGGACTGCAGGCTTCCTTTGCCTCCCTCCCTGATGCTCAAACGCCCAGGACAGACAGAGCAGCCTGGAGTGGGACCGACTGCCAAGGCCAGGGGGCTCCTTCGGCCCTCTGGCCTCTGAGCAGCCAGCCTGGGCTTAGCCTCCCTCCCATCAGGTAATCCAGGGTCCAGGCCAGAAGCCCCTCACAGCTTCGTGTGCGCGCAGGAACTCAGCCAGGCTCTGGGCCAACCAATGCGGGGCTAGAGGCCAATCCACAGTCCATTTTCAAAACTGCAACCGGGAGGGTGAGGATTTGGGTCTGCACCCTAACCACCTCCTTTGTTAAATAAAACCAACCTAGAAAACAGAGTGCAAACCTCTACACCACCGGCCTGGAGCTCAGCCAAGCCTGGGTAGAGTTCAAGCAACGTTAATGGTATTGGCAAGTCCTGGCTCTGGGCTGAGCCTGGCCTCGGGGACGAAGCCACACCCCCAACCCTGGGACCATCACAGCCCAGTGGGGAAGAGAGACTGAAGGGACTCCAGTTCCCTGGGGGGAGGGCGGGGCAAGGTGCTGTGCCAGGGTGGACCTGGCTCCCAGGTACAAACACATAGTGAAGTTTTGCTGATGGCGCCGAAGCCTGGTGCTGAGAGCCACGCAGCCCACAGCACACCCCCTTCCCCTTTGGGACCCCCTCTGACCTTGTCACTTTTGACAGCTCCTCTCCAAATACGCAGGGTCCTATCTTTCCTCTCCACCTCCTGGAAGCAGCCCCCAGCCTCACTGGCTGCAGTGTCCTCTCTCCTAGATCCTGCCCCCCAACACCCCTGCACCCCACACCCTCCTTGTATCACCTTCTGTTACTTGAATGTCCCTGCTGCACCCCCACGACCATCCTCCCCCCTCCCCAACCTAGAGACCCAGCTAGGTACTTTCCGAAAGGGTCATCATTCCCCTGAGGACAGATTACCCAGTCACATTTCAAATTAAAAGCAGCTCAGCTTTATCAAGGGCTAAGCCAATCCTGAAGTGTTTTAAGCTCAAACGCAAGGCTTCCAAGGCACTACCCGCTAATGAGATTAAATGAGATAATGTGCGCGGAGCTGGGTGCACTTTGGGATCCAGCCCTCAGACCACCATGGGGAGTCTTTGCTCTCCTTTGGTGTCAGGCACTTTAGAGGGAAAGTTTGCAGAGCTTAGCCACCTGTGTGATGCTGGGGCATGGAAGGGGCTCCAGGAATGGGGTGAGCAGCAACCTTCAGGCACGAGTGGGTAAGGGGGGTGTGTATGAGAGTATGCGTGCATGTGACTGGGAGGCGAGAACAGAGAGGTGTGTTGTGGGGTCTCACCACGTCCCACCGGATCTCCTCTCTCCCCTGGGGTCTCACTCAGCTGCTCGGTCTTGCTGCCACCGCCATGCTGGCCTCAGGAGGTCACTGTGGTCAACACAATCCCTTCTGGCTTGGCCTGAGCCCCTTGCCCTGAGTTCCCCCCAGCTGAGCAGAGGCTGGTTGTCATTTCCAAAATGATTTTGCAGGCAAAACAAGGTAAACACCCAATTATATGTATGCTGGCTGTATGGCCTATATTTCTTAAGGCCAGATTTCCCATTCCAAGAGACTCCAAGGGAACAGCAAAGACATTTTTGAATCTCTGATTTGCGACTTAGGATAGCCACACAGACACATCAAGTGCCCATCTGGACACACAGGGATTGTTCTGGACACTCTCTGCTGACTAAGTGCCAACTGCGGTCCCCCATCGAGCTGGGGGAAGGGGACTTCCTCATCTCCTCTTTCCTGCCCTGTTCAGGCACTGTGCCGGGGGGCTTCGCATTGTTAACATACCCATTCCGAGTAATGACTTTGTGAACACAGGGCCCAGAAAGGTCAAGTTCCCAGTCTAAGGTCACAGAGTTAGAAAAAACAGCTTCAGTTATGGAACATCCTCTGTGCTGGGTGAAAAACCAATCCATATTGTGTATGGAATATCACTGGACCCTCCCAAAGGACTAGTAAAAGCTTAGGTGCTAATAGCTAATCATATTGTGCCCCTTTTACAGATGAAGAAACGGATGCTCAGAGAAGGGAAGTGATTAGTCTGCTGGGACCCTCCTAACTTTCTGAGGGCTTTGCCCTGGTGACTATGGTAAATGTAAGGATTTTCAAGCGCTCAAGCTCAATCGGGGCAAGAAGCAGGGGGCTTTGGGGCCCACCTCTGCCCGTGTCCCCATCAGGCTGGGGTTCCATCTCTTGGACTCAGCTGGGGCAGGAATTTTGCATCCTGGGGTTCTGCTGAGCCTCTGCCAGATCCCCTCCCCCTTCCTCCTCCACCAGCCCCTGAGTCCCCCTTGCCCAGCACATGACTAGCCCCAGACGAGTTCCTGGGTCACCTCCTGGGATTCAGGGCAGCCCTCCCTCCTGGTGCTGAGTCCCCATGGGCCTTACTTTTCCTAGCACCCAGCAGGACCTCAATTGTCCTCTCCAGCAGGGTGGGCTGGCAGGCTTCAGGGGCCAAGACCCTCAGGCTTTAATCCTGTGTGACTTCAGGTGCATTAACTCACCTCTCTGAGCCTGTTTACCTCTTAAGATGCAACTGATGGTAGGACTCTACCCAGAGATGACGCAAAGCTTTCTTTACCCCTCACCTCCTTTTCTTTTTCTCGTTTTTCCCGTTCAGTGAGCACTATTTATATAGCACTTACTCTCTGCCAGGCACGGTTGTAAGCACTTTTATTCCTAATTGAATCCTCCTAACAATCCTGTGAAGGAGGCACTGTTAGTCTCTTATTTTACAGATGACAACTCTGAGACACAGAAAGGTTACAGAACCTGGCCAAGGTCACACAGCTTTAAAAAAAACAACCACCTTGAGATGTAATTGCCATCTAACATTATTTGACATACAGCTTTTAAGACGCAGAGGCAGGAATCAGACCCAGGCAGGCGGGCCCCAGAATTCACGTTTTTAACTTCCTCCTCTACACCGAGATAAGGAGTATAAAGCATTCTGGTGTAAGATGCAACCAAAAGGAAATACTTCATAAGCAGTTGCTGTAGTTACCATGTGTCTTCAAAGCAGGTCATCTTACTTCTGTGAGTCTCCATGTTTTTCATCCCTACAGTGGGACCCGTGATACCTCCCTGACAGATTTCAATAGAATGATGGGTGTGAAGTGCTCATCACAGATCCGCACACAGATCAAGCCATGGGCTCTCGGTGGTGCTCTCTGGAAGGCACAGGTAGAGAGGGCTGAGCCCTGACTTTAGTTAGGCACATCCACTGAGCCAGCAAGAACAGGTGTAGAAAAGACCCCAGCCTTGGGGGGCCCAAGTGAAGCAAGAGATGACACAGCAGATGTGCAAGAGTATAGGACCTCTGGGGGTCCAGGCTGGGGGAGGGGGAGTGGGGGGGGCGTCAGGAAGAAGGCTTGTGAACACTTACGGGGCCGGCTAGTCTTCACAACAACCCTGAGCAAACAAGAGTCTCAGGGAGGAGACGCGACAAGGCCAGAGTTCAAGAAAGGGGTGACAATGGGCTTTGCAATCCAGGACAGGTCTGTGGTTCCTCTCCCCTCCGGACTGGCCTTCGGCGGGATGATGGGCCTCAGCTACAGGGCCACGATCCGAGTAAGGAGCGACTGTTTCCTACAAAGGTCCAGCAGAAGGCAGGTGAGAGTCCCTCTTGAACAAGGGTCCTAAATAAGCAGGGGCTCCTGTGGGGCACAGGGCTGAGGAAGGCTCAGGGACCTGGCTTAGGACAGGGACAGATGAGAGAGTGAATCAGGAGCAGGAGTGGCCCAGGCCTGGGGGCAGGAGGGGGCAGGGTCCTGCCCGGGGTTGGGGCAGGGGATCCCCGCTGGAATCCAGAGAAGGGCCGAGAGCACACCCCTGCCTCTTCCCATCCCCCCCCCCCCCGAAGACTTTCCACACGCACAGGTCTCAGAGCCACGTGCCCTGGGACCCATGGCTAGAGGGTGACAGGAGCCCTTTCCAGGGAGGCTGTGCATTGTTCTCAGAGGCAGGAAAGCCACTTCCTATGGGCCCAACCATCCCTTTGAAGAACCAGGCCATGCCCAGCGGCCTCTGTCCTCACTTTAAACCGGAGGAGGGCTACAATGGCCTCACCCAGAGCCATGACCCCAAGAGGCAGATTCCTTTTTTTTCTGGAGAGCTCCTTCACAGCGCCTCCATTTCCCGTCGTGACGATGACGGCCCAGCCTGAGTCCAGTGGCCCCAGAGTGAGGTCACCACAGTGAGGTCTGACCTCAGTGTTGCCATGGGGACGCTCAGGATGCCACCGCCACCTGCCGAGCTGCACCTTTCTTCCAGAAGGAGTGGGAGGGGCAGCGACTGATGTGGAGACTCTGTGTCACCCTGCTCCTGGCCCACCAGGCTTGTTTCCCCCCAAACATAAATGGTCACAGTGGGGTGGGCCAGGGAACGCTTGTGGGGCCTGCTGGCTCCATTGTGTGTGTGTCTGTGTGTTTGGGGTGCAGGGAGAGGAAGTTATGAGCCCTCCCGGGGTGCCTCATTTTCTTCTCTCCCTGCGCCGGGCTGGGATGCTGCTCATTGTGCTCCTCATGGACCCAGACGGCCATTCACAGCAACCTGGTCTCCGTAGCAACCAGCTGTGACATCACAAGGAACCTACAGACCCTGTCGCCCGGGCAGAGGAAGCGTGAATGCATCCCGCGGGGCCCAAAAGCTCCCGCTTCCCCTCCTGAGGCCCCTCCTGTGATAGGGGAAGTGGGTGTAGAAACCCCAAGTGGGAGAGGGTCTCTCCTCAGAAATAGCAGGTTTTTCTGTGAGATGCAAACCGAGGCTTCTCTGGAGGTTTGTGCGGAGTCTAAATGAAGTCTCCTTCCCCCCACTTCCTCCCCTCTCTCTCTCTCATCCCTTCAAAATTACATCTCCATTTCCTCAACCGGAAAATGGGGATAATAGAAGTCACTCTTCGTTGAGCGATTATTATGTGCCAGGCACTGTGGATTTTCTCATCTGCCTCATGACAACCCAATAAAGTATTTTCCTTTTAGAACTCTTCCTTTTATAAGTGGAGGAGAATGAAGCACAGCAAGAGGATTTGAACCCAGACAGTCTGGCTCGAGAGTGTATTCACAGCCTCCCAGGCGCTCAGCGCCACCTCTATTTCCAGCCACGCTGTGGCAAACGGTTCCACGCGGGCTTCAACTCACTTTGCACTGCCAGCATCTCGCCTCATGTGAGCACAAAGCCTTTTTCTTTTTTTTGCCCTGGGGCTTGTGCAGTGCCCAACCTGGACTGCTGGCAGGAGTGTGCTCAGCCTGAGGACATGCTGAAGGGGGCTGTTAGCTTCCACTGGGCCACTCTCCACCAGTGCGGCACGGGAGCTGATGGATGGGTGCTTCTGTCAGTCTGTCATCTGGCTGACAAGCCCGAGAGGCTTTTCTGCTTTCCTTTTCTCACTTAATGTCGGTCCCCTGTTTCTGCTCCCTGGGATCACCTCCAAAATAAACTCCCTGCACACAGGTCCTTGCATCGGGTTCTGCTGAGGAGGGAACCCCAGGCCAAGACTGTCGGCACTATAGTAGCGCCATGAGCAACACCACAGGGCAGCATTCTGGCCCTGGAATCCATGGTGAGATGCAGTGAGGCCCCCGCTGCAGTGGGGTGGGAGATGGGGACAAGCTTGGGCATATGAGTATCACATTTATTGAGACTGTCTCTCCTGTAGTGGGCTGGCACGAGGTACGGGTAGTCGGTGAAGGGTGGGGTTCTGGGTAAGCTCTAGCATCTAAATGACATGGGGGCAGTGGTAATAAGGATGGTGGGGTTGGCCGGCTTCTGTTAACTGTTTTGGCAGCCTTAAAGAAAGAAAATATCACACTCGGTCGCCTGGGTGGCTCAGGCGATTAAGTGTCTGCCTTCGGCTCAGGTCATGATCCCGGAGTGTCAGGATTGAGTCCCACATCGGGCTCCCTGCTCAATGGGGAGCCTGCTGCTCCCTCTGCCCTTTACCCTGCTTGTGCTCTCTCTCGCTTTCTCTCTCTCTCTCATAAATAAATAAAATCTTAAAAAGAAAAAAGAAAAGAAAATATCACACTCAGTCAGTCTGATGTCAACTCAGGGCAGGCCACGAAGACCCAAATCCAACGTTGCACTGTTTAAAGACACTCCCTCCTCCTGCAGCCAAAGGGGACCCTGTGCTGAAAATCAGGCTCGGGATGGAGCTAAAGGGGTGACCCGGCTGCAAAGGGGCCGGAGGCACAGCCCAGACAGACCTAAGCAAGGTCAGGGCCCTGCTGGGCAAAGTGTGGGACCCCGACACCTGAGCTGGGGACATTTGGGTGGATGAATCTGAGGACCCTGGAGGCCCAGACCCCTCTGAAACTTGGACATGGGACTCCCAAAACTCAGCAAAGCACTCGTTGGCAAGGGGCTGAGTCTGGGCTGCCTCCAGGAAAGGCCAGCATGTTCCTCCCCTAGCCTGTCCCCTGGTCAGGGCCTGACTGAGAACCCCCAGCCACTGATGGGTAGTGTGCATTCTCGAGAAGACACCAGGTCCATGGCTTGCCTCACATCAAAGGAACATGGGACTACTCAAATCTTGAGCAGAAAGACAAGCTGGTCAAGTGGGGACTGCCCTCGGCTTCGGCTCGGCTGGCCCTGGGTTCTAATCACGCTCGGGGCCCAGGCAGAACGCCGCCCTGTCCATACCATCAATTGTTGGGACACCTAAGGGAAGCTCAGGGATCCAGAACGCACTATCAGTGACTGAGTAGGCATTTCTGCCGGGCGCTGCTGATAGGAGGCTACAGCCCTAAAACAGTCCTGTCTCTCTCTCTTCAAAGCACAGTCCAGTGGGAAAGACAGACATTCGGAAACCAACCACTACCAGTCATGAGCGCTTTTTGAGATTTCCCTAAATGCTAGGCTTTGTGCTGAGCTCTTCCAATACCCAGTATGATAAGATCTGTCAAACATCCCAGTGAGGAGCAGTGGCACTCCCATTGTAAAAACGGAAACGGGGGTGGGGGGGCGGGGCTGAGATTTGCACCAGGCCTTACCTTACTCGGAAGTAGGTTCTCCACCCTCCTACATGGCCTACGTGGAGGGAGACAGCCTGAGCAGAAGACCCATTCGGCCTGATGTGGGGATCCAAGACAGCTTCTTAGACTGGTGCCAAGGACGTCAGCACATCCAAAAAGCAGAATCGATGTCAACCGTGGTTAGGTCATTAGTAAGCATTGATTGTGAGGGCTCCCGTTTTTGGAAATGACTCAAGACACCCGGTATCAAAGCCAGCATGAACTCTAGCCACTGCCCTGTCCTCAGACAGTTAGGGAGCAGCCCCTGGACCCGGCAGCTCCCTGGGTTCCAGAGCCTCAGCTCTGGCCCCAGGATCTGGGGAGTCCTGCCACTCCTGGCTCAGCTTTTCCTCTCTCAAAGCCTTTTTGATGAAGGAGGTCTGGATGATGGGGATCCCCACTGAGGTGTTTTCTGGCCTGGAGGGAGGTGAGGCCGTACGGTTGGGCTCCAGAGGGTTGCGTCGGAGAAACCCACTCAGGTTGGGTTCGGCGAAAAACGGGGACTTATTTATGAGGCCCCAGCGGTGTCTTCCGGATTCCTCACCCCGGGCTGGCAGGAAAGGCCAGGTCTGGGGAGACTAGAGCTGAGGCTGGGTGCCACTGGGCCTGGCTCTCTCTCCTCATCTAGGCTCCTTTCTGTCAGCTGGTTCCATTCTGCTCTCTCTTTGCCAAGCAGGGCCTTCCATTCTTCAGAGGCCGTGGCTGCCCAGAGCGACTGGGCCCACCCTCCTGGCTTGGGCCCACCCTCCTGGCTTGAGCCCAGCCATGCAAGAGACCAAATGGCTGTGTCCTGCTCTCTCCTCCCCTTCCCAGAGTCAAATGTTTGGTAGAGAGAATTGATTGGCCCAGATTGGTTCATGTGTCCAACCTGAGTCTAATCCCCTATAGGTAGGGTGTGGTAAAGCCCTTGGGGGTGGTGAGGGAGGAGTCACCATAGATGGAGGGGTCTTTGACTCATAGGTTGCGCAGACTTCCCCCAAAGCAGCCATGGCCAGGGACCTACCTCTGCATCTACCTCCCATCTTCTCTCCTCCCCACCCCTGCCTGATGCCCACAGAGAACTTTCTCTTTCTTTCTTCTCTCTCTTTTTTTTAAGATTTTATTTATTTTTTGTCAGAGAGAGAGCACAAGCAGGGGGAGTGGCAGGCAGTGGGAAAAGCAGGCTCCCCGCTGAGCAAGGAGCCCGATGCAAGACTCGATCCCAGGACCCTGTGATCATGACCTGAGCCGAAGGCAGACGCTCAACAGACTGAGCCACTCAGGCATCCTGCAAAGAATTTTCTTAATGTTCCATTGACCTCAGTGTCAAGCAATCTGTAAGTCATCAGCTAAAGCTCTATCCCAACAATAGAGTTAATAAAATTTCCATCCTTATAATTGTCATTATCATCTATTATGTATTGAGGCTTTCCTATATTCCAGGCACTGGGCATAGGTCTTTACTCTTACTACTTCATTTAATCTTTACAACGATGCTATGAAGTAGATACCATTATTATCCTCACCTTACGGAATAAGAAACTGAGGCACAGAAAGGTGAGGCAACCTGCCGATGTTGCCCTGGAGTGGCAGAGCTGGTATGGAAGAGGTCTGCATGGATGTGCTCAGCTCTGCACTGGAGGCTATGGGGACACGGAGCTGTGTGGCTTCTGGTTAGTTGGGGGAGCCTCCCCCCTGCACCCCCCATGAGAATCTCAGGGCCAGTACTGATAATAGGAGGATGTGGCATGGCTGGAAGGGATCACAAGAGAGGGAACACGGGTTTCCTGCAAGGTTGGACTTGGGTCTCAGGACAAGTCAGATCTGAGCAGCAGAGAGGCAGTTGGGAGGGAAGGTCAGGAAAGACAGAGGAGACAGCTGGGTGGTGGCCCAGGCTGGCTGCAGAACAACATCATGGGCCGACGTTTGGGTGGGTGGGGAGGCACCAGATGCCAGTGGGCCTGCCTTCCTGCTGCACCCCTGGAACCAGCACTGTTAAGCACACGTGGCTGCTCCTAGCACGGGTCGAATTGAATTGACCTGAAATAGCAGGTAAAGGTGACCCAGAGCAGGAGGAAGGGGGTTTAAGCTGTGGCTGAATGAGACCACATCTTCTTATGTCTGTGCGTGTAGTTGCTCTCTGGGTGGGTCCCCACAAAGTCAGTGATGTTGACAAGAATCATTCTTCCTCATTTCCAGATGAAGAAACCAAAGCACAGAGAGGTGGAGCAAGTTGTCCAATGTCACACAGCAAGTGGAGGTTCATACTCAGTCCTCCTTAGTTGCAGATGCAAGATTCCCAGGAGGAAGGGGTTTGGATCGAACCTGGGGACAGGTTTCCTGTGTCTAAAAGAAATCATGAAATACTAAAACACTGCCATTTAGAGGCAGAGGGAGGTGTTTGGGATCCACACAGAACTGGGTTTGAATCCTGACTCTGTCACTTCCTAGGTGACCTTGGGCAAGTCAGTCATCTCCATGAGGACAATGGCAGTGCCTCCAAGAGGCCTTTGGAGGACTGAAGGACTCAG